TCTCTCTCTCTCTCTCTCTCTCTCTCTCTCCTCTCTCTCCTTTCTCTCTTGGCTAAGCCTGGGCTTTCAGTGAAGTTGAAGAAAAATTACCACCATGCATGGTGTCTCGTGCCTGTCATTCCAGGATCTAGGGGCCTGAGGTTGGGGCTGCTGTGAGTTCAGGCCAGAGGGTCTCAAACAAAAAGACAGCCAACAAGGCGGCCACATTGCCTGCTCTTCTCTCCACTGGCACAGGAAACCTGTCCTGTGATCATACTGCTTTCTTGTACTTCCTTCTGATGTGGTCACATGAGCCGAAGCCCAGCCTAAAGCCATGCTCACAGAGAGGTGTAGTGTGTCACACATTCGGTGCTTTGCAAGTCCCTTTGATGCAATCTCACAGCTGCCCTTCGTTATGGAGTGTATTGTTTTAGGCCCCAGCAGGATGGCCATGTTCACTGCAAGGTACTTAGCCACATCCTTGCCATTCTTTCGACAACCTAAAATGTCTAGGCTTTGCATTGTTCCCTGGGGGCCCTTGGGGAGCCTGTTGGATGCAGCTTTTGAGGGCAGGCTGGCCTCTGCTGCCCCTAAGATGGAGGAACAAGAGCTTAGGAGTTTGAAAAGCATGTTTTCTTCACAGCTTCCAAAAGCGGCGACTTGAAAAAGCCCAGAAGAAAAAGGAGGCAAGAGCAGTGGACAGACTGGAGCAGGAGTTGCTAAAAGGTAGCTTTCCCACAGCAGGCACAGAAGCTGCAGTCCCCACACGGCTCCTCCTCCCCCCATACCTCCTTGGTGGCACCCGTGGATTCCCAGTCTCACGACTAGGAGGCCAGTGGATGAGTGGGTTCTGAAAGGGAGGGTGGGTGGAGAGTCCAAAATGACAGGGGCTCTGTGAACGGCAGCCTCTGTTCACTCTCTTTGCAGACACTGTGGAGTTTGGAGAAGTTGTGCTGCAGCCCCCAGACCTGACGGTCCAGCCCAGAAGGGGCACAGGCAGAGATGCAGTATGTGGGGACCAAGTGATACAGGGGGTGGGGATCGGCGAGATCCTTCCTGTTTCTGCTGGGAAACGAGAAGGTCCCAGCCCAGGACCTTCTTCAAGGGCTATCAGCTGCCCGACAGCAGAAGCTCTCTGCCGTCTTCTCTCCTTAGCGGAGCTTGTGCTACAACCTTCTCTCTCTTTCCTCAGCCTGGCAAGAAGTCGCTAATGCTAAAGATGCTTTTGGGTGCTGGTGGTGTGTCCCTGACTCCATCCACCTCACTGGCCCGCCAGCGGATCCTGGGGGAAGAGAGGGAACGGGCTGTGCAGGCCTACAGAGCCCTGAAGAAGCAGCAGCGACAGGAAGTGACACTTACACAGCCACCTGGCAGCTCTTCTCAGAGAAAGCCCCAGACTTGTCTATGATTCAGAGACCTTGGGGTCCAGTCCCCTGGAAACTGGCCTGGGAGCTGCTAGACCTGAAAAAGGGAACGAGGGCAGATGCTTGTCCCTGGATGGGGGCCTAAGCACAAGCTTTCAATATGGGGGTGGTGTGGTTTTCTTTCCCTTCCCCTTTTAAGAGTGACCACCAATGAATTCTATCTCATACAGAGCAAGTTCCCCTAAGACTTGCCTGAGACACAGAAGGGATGGCTGGTGTTTTCCCTGAGCCTAGCTTTACTCTGAAACAAGTCTCAGGGAAGACAAGCCAGGACTACTGTAGAAAGAACTCAACCCCTTAATCCAGCTGATGCCTGAAGCTGCTGATGTAGGTCAGCCTGTTGTCTTAAGAGGCTCCCATGGGTTCAGTGCAGTGCAAAGCATGTTAACAGGACAGTGGAAGAGCAAATATACCCGGGTCAGGTGTATCAGTCAGGTGGCTTGCATATTTGCCTGCAGGGGTCTGTACAAGAGACCAGAGCCCCAGTCTGGTTTGAATAGAGATGATGGGGTGTCAGTACTAGCTGAGTGCATTAAGGCAAACACATAAAAGCCAGGTTTCGGTGGTAGGAAGGGCAGAGTAATTATACTAAGAGGGTAGGAACAGGTCCATGTCCTATCAACAGGCCTCTGGGCGTAGGGCAGGCCTTTGGGAAGGACCAGGGATGGAATCTGGTTGAGGGTGTCTCCCATAGTACCAAAAGAGGGGGAACCTGATGCTAGTGAAAGGTAGATCTTGAAACTCATCCAACCTCCTGGAGTGTGGTACCACCCTATAATCCTGGCACCTAGGAGGTAAAGGCAGAAGAATTAGGAGTTCTGTGCCAGTCTTGACTACATGAGACTTGTTTTTTTTGTTTTTTTTTTTT